GACGAGATACTTGAAAGGTTAGAATTACTTGCCTTTGTGTCCTTGTTCAGTTCTCAGAACAAGGGATACAGAGGAAACATTGGGGGACATATAGCAGTGTGTGTGTGTGTAAAATTCGGTTTTGGTTGTCTAGACTCAACAATTAACAGAAACATCATACAGCTCTACAGATTGGGAGTATTTATACTCAGATACCACCCTTAGGCCCATATCCTCGTATCTTCTGCCCTGTGTCTTTGAAGTTCCTTCCTTTCACCATACCTGTCCCCTTACACACTGCTTTCCGAGAACTCTGTCAGAATGTCTTGAGCCTGCTACCAGGGCCTATAGAGCCTGTCTGTATGATAGATCTTGCCAATGAATTCTACACATGCTATGTACTGATCCCATAGGTCGCAGGTGCGGCTAGAGGGACTGTTTGAGAAGGTGTTTGTAGCGCTTGCTTACTCCATTGAAGTAAGGCTTCCTATAGTGTAGGGAAGGACTTGGGTGGAGAATACAGAGGTTGTGTGGGGTGAACTTGCACCAGGATCTTCCCTTTGTGGGTTTGTTTTTTTTTTTCCCCCCAATTCTAAAACTTGTCAGAGACAGATCTAAAGAAACTTTCTTTTTTCAGTTTTGGTGGTGGTGGTGGTACTATTAAGGAAGATTTTCTTCATACTCATTTTGAAGTAGCAGAACATATTTTGAACATAGCAGACTCAATATAAAGCCCAATTAATGTTTGAGGATAACTGAGTTGCTGGAGAGGTAGACTGATTTCCTGAAGGGAGACTCTCAGGTGCTGTTCTGTGTTTCCCCCTGGGTAGGTGATGCTTTTGATGCTTTGTGAACAGGAGGAAGAATTCCACTGGCGAAATGCATTTTTAGGAAAAGGCAAAGGGTTTCCTCGTCTCTTTATACTAGCAAGGTACAGCTGTCTGCAGTGTCTGTCTGCTGCTTGGGGATTCCTTCTTCAGTCTTTTTTCTGAAGGCTTTTAAGACATAGTTTAGTGCATTCCTTTCTGTTTTCTGCAGCCAGAGGGAAAGTTATAATCCATCAGGGCTCTTGCGGAATAGCTTAGAATGGGTGCTAACAGCTGAGGTGTGTGTGTGTGTGTGTGTGTGTGTGTGTGTGTGTGTGTGTGAGAGAGAGAGAGAGAGAGAGAGAGAGAGAGAGAGAGAGAGAGAGAGAGAGAGGAGAGAGAGTGTGTTTGGGGGTAGGGAAGAGATTTCTAGGGCCAAAACCTGTTTGTTCGGCCAATGAGAATAGGTTAGAGGAATGATGTCACCAGATAGGTTTTTTTTTGTCTGATCATCTTGTAAAAAGCAGGATTGTGTTTGGCAACTTAACCCTTTTTTAGGTATTTAAAGTTTCACCCTCTCTGGTATAATTTCTGCTCCCAGCTGTTAGGTGTGAGACCATAGACATTAAAGGCTTAAAGGACTATAGAAACTGGAGAATTATAAGCCACCACTTAAAAAAAAAGAAATGACTAAACTTTAGAGCCACAGCTAGAATGAAAATGTGATCTGAGTTGTGTTCAGAGAGCACATCTAAAGCAGATGCTGGGCATGGCTATATGATACCTTTTTCTTGTAGTCTTAGGAAGGGAGGAAGCTTAGTGGGAGAAGACAGCCTTTGTATATTTATTTATGGAATGGAGTCTGGTAGTTTGAATGTAATTGGCCTCTATAGGCTCACAGGGAGAGGCACTATTAGGAGGTGTGACTTTGTTGGAGTGGGTATGGCCTTGTTGGAGGAAGTGTGTACTGGGAGTGGACTTTGAGGTTTCTTATGCTCAAGATGCTGCCCAGAGTTTCAGTTCACTTCCTTTTGCCTTCTGATCAAGATGTAGCCAGCTCCATGTCTGCCTGTGTGTCACCATACTACCAGCTGCCGTGCTCCCCACCATGATGATAATGGACTAAACTTCTGAAACTGTAAATTGTTGCCTCAATTAAATGGTTTCCTTTATAAGAATTGCCATGGTCATGGCATCTCTTCACAGTGATAGAAATCCTTTCTAAGATACCTGTGTTTTACAAAGTATTTCCTGTTGGGGAGGGATTGAATTGGCTTTGTAGATTTGGAGACTGTCATGATTAATCTTGAGGCTGATTTTGAGTAAGTGACTTTTGCAGTATTTGTTTATTCTTGTACTTTTTACGTGTCTTTTCTCCCATAAAATGACAGTTGTTGTATTTATGCTTATTTCCTTACTGGTAAAATAAGTGGTCCTGTCCTATCTCATAGAGTTTCTGAGATAAGGAAATAAATTAGTTCTTGTGACTATAGATCTTGCTTTATGCCTGGATTATAATGAGTGTTTCTTAAGATTTTATATTCGCTTATTCAGTGGACATTTTACACCTTTGTTTGTTTTGAACACTACCTTATATGTCTTACAATTTTTTAGAAGGTGAGAATATTTGTAGATATGCATGTGTGTGCATGTGTGAAGGTCAGAGAAGAAATTTGTAGAATCAGTTCTCTCCTTCCACTTTTGTGTGGGTTCAAGGAAGTGAGCTCAAGTAATCGGGCTCGAAACCATTGGGGTGACAGTGCCTTTACCGGCTGAGCCATTATTCTGGCCCTGGTAAAGCACCACCTTCTTGATGCAGGATGTAGGAGATACAGACATTAAAAGATCGTTCCAGCCTTTAAGGAACTCAAAACATCTTGAAGAAAACTGACAAAAATAATAATTAAATGCACGTTTCATTTTTTTTTTTAATTCAGTGCTAGGTCCTCTTCTAACTATCCTGGCATACATGAACACAATTATCTTTCTCAGCTGTATGCAATATGTACTATAATGGCTAGCTTTATAGACAGAAATAGAAATGCAGAAGGTAAGATGACTTGCCTACTACCACACAGTTGGTTATAGAGTTGGCATTTGAAACCAGGAAGTAAGAGTTGACATTCTGTGCTCATCTCTACAGTGGTCACTAGCCACATATAACATGAAATGTGCCTAGTCTGGGTTGAATTGGGCTGTATGAATAAGAACTAGATTTCAAAGACCTAATTGGGGGTGGGTGGGAACTATAAGATTCTCTCTTTGTCTCTGTCTCTCTCTGTCTCTCTCTGTCTTCTCTGTCTCTTTTCCCCCACCTTCAGTCTCTCTCTCTTTCTGTGTGTGTGTGTGTGTGTGTGTGTGTGTGTGTTAGAAAAGTTAATTTATTGTGAAAGAAAGGATTCCCAAGAGAAGAAAGGGCCAGACTAATAGGTAAAACCTCATATCGAAATTATATGTTGCTAATATTTTAGACATACCGAATTAAGTAAAATGTATTAAAAGTGGTCTTACTTTTCTATTATAGCTACTCTAAAACTTAAGATTTTTTTTTAAAAGCCTACAGCACCCTGTATTCCCAAGGCAGTCTCCTATCCAAGTACTAACCAGGCCCCACCCTGCTGAGCTTCCAAGATCAGATGAGATGAGGCATGTTCAAGGGTGGTATGGCCGTAGACTAAAACTTTAGATTTTAGAACACTTACTGTGTGCTGTGCACCCTGCTAATACTTAAGTTTCATATTACCCTTTATATTACTGAAAAGTTTCTGACCCAAATAAGCCTCTCCACTGATGCAGTAATCCAAATCAGATCAAATCAAACCGAATTAGAAAAAGCTCAGGTTTAATGGATACAGATGCTCTAAGATGACTTTCCAGCCCCCCAGAGAGGAGATGGGAAAGCAAGACCAGAAAACCACGTGTTCTCTGGGGGACAGTTTAAATACCCTGTGGGAGAGGTCTTATGCATCTCTGGGGCAGGGTCTTTGGCCAAGGAGTCTGGACTCAGGCACTCCACGGGAGGGGACTTAGGGTAGAGCTTCCATCTGAACATTCCAGATTCTTTGAATATATGGGAGCCAGGGCCTGGAGTGATGCTTCCATCCAAACATCCCCATTTTGTAGTCAAGAGAGATGATTATAGTGATGAACCGTGGGCAGGCCTACTTTTCATCCCACCCAGCTCCCGCACGGCTAGCTTAGCCCTGGAAATAACAACACACAAATTGTATTCATTTAAACACTGCCTGGCCCATTAGTTTCAGCCTCTTATTGGCTAATTCTCACATCTTGCTTAACCCATTTCTAATAATCTGTGTAGCACCATGAAGTGGTAGCTTACCGGGAAAGATTCAGCATGTCTGACCTGGTGGCTGGCTCCATGCTGTCTGACCAACTATGCTTTCTTTCTCCCAGCATTCTGTTCTGTCTACTCCACCTATCTAAATCCTGCCCTATCAAAAAGCCAAGGCAGTTTCTTTATTAACCAATGGGAGTAACACATAGACAGATGACCCTCCTCCATCAGATGATTTTGAGAAATTCAATAATTTGTTCTAGGTTAGTTAACTAATTGGTGCCAAACAACTTCAAAAACCATGTCTGTCAAAAAACTTGTGTTCTTAACTAGCGTATGGTAATTTTGTTTGAATTTAAGCCTGAGATGTTTTGTTTTTGTAGGTACATATAATATTGTATACATCTGTATCTAATACATAAATCTTCAAAATAAGACTCAGTAGTCCACAAGATAGAACTCTCTTTTGCAGGGTCTTGAAGGCAGGCACATTGGAGTCTGAGATGAGGCAGTGAAGTCATCCTCTACCAATTGTGTTTATTTAATTTTCTCTCTCTCTCTTTTTCCCCCTCCTTTTCTACCCCTGTCTCTCGTCTTCCTTCCTTCTTTTTTAGCCTGACTGGTTTCAAACTCACAGAGATCCTTCTGTGTCTTACTCCTGAGTACTGGGGTTAAAGGGAAGTGCTACCATACACAGCCACATTGAGGTTAATTTTCATTCCAGTCTATTACTTCATCCTCATTGTCCATGGATGGAGGAGGGAGGGGCAGCACACCCTCTTTAGTTATTTAGTTCTTTTATCTGATGAGATGATGAATTTGTTTTCTGTTTTACTGTCCATTCTCTCCTGAAATCTTTCCTGTTTGTGTTCGAGAGAACAATGATATGCTACTTGACTCTTGACTGTTTTTTCTCCTAGAGCAAAGATTCGGGTGGACTGAAGGCGGCTATGATAGAGTTGGTGGAAAGGTTAAAGTTCAAGAGCTCAGATCCTAAAGTAAGTATTGTTTTGGAATTAACTGGGTCTTCGTAGCTCAAACATTTATTCTCCTTGATCTGAGTACAGGAAGTGTTAATGATTATCTATCTGTACTTTCTGTTTAGATCCAATTAAGCCTCACCATCAAAAACAGTGTTCTTATATGCCTGGAGAATAATCATCTATTTCTCGTTCTCTATTTTATGACTTATAAAACATAATCCTTAATTGTTGTTTTTTTTTCCTTTCTAAATTGCAGAGAAGTGCATTTTTACTCTTTCCTTATCAGACCTTTGAGACTTTTGTCCTCTGTGTCCCTTAGATCTACCCAGAGGCATCTGAGTGAGATACTGATCAGCGTAATTCTGCTCCCGGGACACCCAGCTAGTTGGTGCATAGTACTAATATACCTTGTCAGTTCCTGGCTTGCAGAAGGCAGCTGCCTCTAAGCATGCCTTTGTCCTCGTTATCTGGAGTCTGGTCTAGGAAATTATTTGAGCATCCCAGCTACTTTGCAAGATTTGGGGAGCTGGAGGATTGAGATTCTAAGAGATACAAAACTGGAGTGGGGTGAGGGTGGAGGTGGTAGGCTGGGAGCCGAGTGTGCAGGAGGAGTTATGACTAATAAATCGCTTCTTACTGAGACACTTACTGAAGCACTACTCAGTATTGGGACTAGATGACTCTTTGGGAACTTAGAGCTCTCACAGGTAACAGGGAAAGGAACATGTTTTTATTTTTATGTCTCTCCCTTTAATAGGGGTACCTGACAGCCAGGTTCTGCTCTAGGAATCTTACATTGTTATGACGAAATATATAACAAAATTTTAACCATTTAAAATGTGTGCTTCAGTGGCATTAAGTTTATTTGGAGTGCTCTGCAGCCATCATCACTGTCCACCTCTGGTATGTTTTTATTGTCAAAAACTAAAACTCTGTCCCTATTAAACATAGCATCTCATTCTCATTCCCTTTCTATGTTTTTTGATGATCACAAAACCCTGTGGAATAGTTCCTTTTCCCAGCTTAATTTATTTTATTTTAAGGATAGTGAGGCTTAAAGAAGTAGATTTATTGCTCCAAATCTAGTGTATTTTGGAGATGAGAGTCAAATGACTCTAATGCCTTTACTCTTGTTTTCATTTCTCACTGCAAACCCTGAGGTCTCATCTTTGTGCTTTGTAATCATGTTTTTAAAACTGAAGCACCACAATGAAGCAAAGCCATTTGCAAGAATGGGCTCTTTAATAACTGCAGCCATCAGTAATTTTCATATGACACTGAAAATATTGACATTAGTAGTATCTCCTCTTTTTTAAATAGGTAAGGTTCTACGGTAGTGAGCATCTAGATAGAAAAGTAGATTGTGTAACCTTAGCAGCTCTCCTACCTAGAATAGGAGGACTCCTGCTCTGAATAATTCTTCCCATTGATAAAGCTGAACCAGCTAAATACTAAAGGTAACTGAAAACATCTAAACACCTTGAGGAGTTTCTTTGATTTTTATGGGTAACTGTCTCTGCCATACCTGTGTGTTTGTGACTGGCAAAGCAGTAAAAAGGATTACTGTTACAGGCTTTGGCCTCCTTTATGAATACAGTCAGTGCTTCTTTTAGAAACTTCCCAGAGAGAAGAGTCCAGCTAAAGTGGATGTAGCAGTTTTCAATCTGTGAGTCAACCCTGGTGGGGGGGGTCAAGTGACTCTTTCACAGGGGTCACATATCAGATACCCTGCATATCAGATATTTACACTATGATTCATAATAGTAGAAAAATTACAGTTATGAAGTAGCAATGAAAATAATTTTATGGTTGGGGGGTCACCACAACGTGAGGAACTGTATTAAAGGGTCACAGCATTAGGTGGTTGAGAACTGCTGCCTTAATGTAAGCTAAAAGATAAGGGTCTGACTTGATGTTAGGTGTGTGCCACACTGTCCACCCTTTTACCTGCAAGCCCCCTTTTAGTCTCCTGCATGAATTTGCTTCAGTGTACGTGGAGCTGGCTTGAGAAGAAGTGAGTTTTAAGTGTGGAGTGACAGCCCTACCAGGAAGAAGAGAGAAAAACAGTGTAGTAATAAGAGCGGCGGGGCTGCATCCCCAGAACCCCGGCAGCCTGGCTAGCTTATGCTCTGAAATAACAACACACAAACTGTATTCATTTAAACACTGCTTGGCCCTTTAGCTCTAGCCCTTACAGGCTAATTCTCACATCCTGATCAACCCATCTCTAATAATCTGTGAGCACCGGTCTTACCGGGAAAGGTTCAGCATGTCTAACCTGGCGGCTTGCTTCATCGTGTGCGTCCGCCCGGGAGAGCGAAGTATGGCATCTCTCTGAGGCATCTGCTCCCGAGAGGAGAGCTGTGGAGTCTGAGCTCACTTCCTCTTCCTCCCAGCGTTCTGTTCTGTTTACTCCTCCCACCTATCTTCTAACCAATGAGGGCCAAGCAGTTTCTTTTTATTTAACCAATGACCTTCCTCCATCAAAACAGGCCACCTTTAATATAAACTTTTCGTAAAGAATGTTCTCAGTAGTCAGTTACCTTCCAAAAGTTCTCCTAAGTTTCTGTCTGTCCTGTCATCCTGCAGTACTCTACCATTCCCTCTTTGGATTGGCCTGCGTAAGAAGGGTAGACTAGTTCAGGCTCTCTGACCTGTCATTTCACGATCTCTGCCCTACTTCTAGAACCCCTAAAACATCCCAAAGCTTGATTGTCCAGACAGTAAAATCTGCTACCAATTGACTTCACTCTAAAAGATTATGTATTTATTATTAATTATATGTGGGGCTCTGTCATCATGAATGTCTGAGCACTCCATGCATGCTGTGCTCATGAAGGGACTGGGGTTACAGATACCTTGTGACCATCTGGGTGCTGACAATCAAACTTAGGGCTTCTAGAAGAGCAACCAGTGCTCCTAATAACTGAGCTATTTCTTCAGCCTCTGAGTTCACTTTTAACTGTGCTAGAGAGCAAGGGAAGATGCCTTATATTAACTCTTTTCTATAATTATGAAACATTTGTGCTTATAGATAAAAGATGCAGATATTCATAAAGGAAAGCTAGAGCGAATTCCCCTTTAATTACAACTATTTTAACAGTTTAGTGTATAAGCTTCTAGATATTTTTTGGATTTCAATATTTTGCAAAAATTATATGATGCCTATGGTTTCATGTTGCTTTTTTCACTATACAGAATATTCTAGATACTCTTTTGTGTTGACAAATAGAATGTTAGTTACTTCTATTGATAAGATTCAGGTACTAGTTAGCTTTAAATGTTAATTTGACATAATATAGCCTAGTGTTTTCTGGGAGGAAAGTCTCCATTAGGGAATTGCCTGGATCAATTGGCCTGTGAGTCTGTCTGTGAGTGATTGTTTCAATTGGTAATTGATTATAGAGGGCCCAGTCCACTTAGTATCACCTTACCTAGGCAGCTTTTATTTTATTGTTAAATTTTATTGTTCATAAAAATCACCCAGGGGATTTATTAAAAGTTCTAAGCTGGGCGGTGGTGGCACATGCTTTTAAAATCCCAGCACTTGAAAGAAAGAGGCAGGTGGATCTCTAATAAGAGTTCCAGCCCAGCCTGGTCTACAGAGTGAATTTCAGGACAGCCAGAGCTACGCAGAGAAACCTTGTCTTGAAAAACCAAAGGAAAAAAAAAAAAAGAATTTCAGGCCTGCCCCCAGAGTTTTGAGATTCGGTTGATGTGGGCTGACATAGTCCCAGACTTTGAGAACCACTGTGCTAATCTTTGGGCTATTTTCCTTGCTTTTTGTTTGTTCGTTCTGTTTTTCTGCTTTCTTCAAATAGAAAAGCATCTAAAAATAAGACTAAATGATTTTCAAATTTGAAAAAGAAAATGAAATATATAAGAATCCGGTCTTAGCAGGCAATGGGGATGCACGCCTTTAATCCCAGCACTCAGGAGGCAGAGACAGGTGAATCTCCGTGAGTTTGAGGTCAGCCTGGTCTACCAAGTGAGTTCCAGGACAGGCTCCACAGCTACAGAGAAACCCTGTCTCAAAACAGACAAACAAAAATCCAGGCTTAGGAAACAAGAGAGTTGGACTGAAGTAAGAAAGAAATGGGGATGGAAAAGGGAGATGGAAAGTGGGTATTGTCTGCAAAAGAGGCTGGGATGGTTTCAAAGTCTCATTTTTAACAGAGAAATAGCAAAGTCAGGAAGAAGGAACAGGCTTCAAGAAGGAGTGTGAACAGAGGTGTTGAGTCAAGACAGGAGAATAATTAAAGACTGTGCTATAGTTCTAAGAATAGGTTGAGTTCTGAAGCTAGAAGAACCATAGAAAACATCAAATCCCAGCCACTAGAAGTGACCTTGAAAACAAGAATCAGAACTATTAGTGGATAAGAAGTTCCACAAGATTGGAGGAAGCTGTGAATGTGTGTGTCGCTTTGGTGGAGCTTGTTTTAAAGGTTACCTGCCTCCAGATAGCTCCTATACTGTGGATAAAGACTGCTTTTATAACAGCCTTGACTTTGTGAAAAATTATTGCTGGAAGCTGTTGTTTACATAATAAACTGACTAGATGTGTTTGATATTCAAATTGTAAAAATTTCTTTGCTAGCCAAACTTTCAGGAACATGTTAGACAAAGCATGGATTGTTTGTTTTTTTTTTTTGTTTTTGTTTTGTTTGTTTGCATGTGTATTCCTTATATATCTGTTCAGCTTAGTGAAATAGGAGATTTTTAATCTGTGAGCAATGCCTTAGCCTGTTATCTCAGTACTTAAGAGCTGAAGCAGGACCATCATGAGTTCTAGTGGATTATACAGTGAGACTCTGTTTATGTGAATAAAATAAAGCAAATAAAAGGGTATAGTCATTTAGGTGCATACCTGTGGCAGAATGGGGGAATGCTGGACTTCTAAAAAAATTAAAACTGAGTTTATCTAAGAAAGCACTGAACCAAAAGCATAACATACTAGTCTTAATCAAACTAACCTTTATGCCATTAGTAACAGATACTTTCTCTATTTTGTGTTA